GCTTAAAGCGCTCTTTTAGAGAAATTGTATGCAGATATGGGGACATCATCACGCCGATTCTGCGAAACGTTGCACTATGGATTTGATTTCGTCCATACGGCGTTCAGCACAGTGTCTTTTCGAAGGATGCTTCGGCCTCGGAAAGAATTGAACGCCGTCTTGCGTGCACCAGTGCCGCCCATGCACTGAATGGCATCTGGAGTTACTAAAAGTGCTGTTATGCATGATTTGAAATAGAAAATAAGCCAGTTTGATTAGCTCGCAACACATTGTTGGTGAAGCTGTTGCACTCACTGTGCTATGAGTATTATTGACAGGCCTTAGGCTAACCAGATCATGGTTTTGAAATGTCCTCCAAATGCGGACGCCCTCTCTCCCACCCGACTTGTGTGCGAGTGAACAATCAGCCCAGGTCAGGTTTATCCACGAGTATTGCTATGTGAAGGCAACAAATCTGGGGTCAGTTTGGGTGTCCATTTGTAGTGCACCGGACATCACGGTCAGCTCACGCGGCGCCTCAGACGTGCAACAGTATCCGAACATCGTCAGCCTCCGCTGATCCGAACATTGAACATGATCCGAATCCGAACATCGTCAGCCTCCGCTGATCGCCAGCCAGCCGCCACATGTGGTGTCTGGATTTTCCCAAACCGCCGGCGGCCAGGCGTCCGGGGGCGGGCCGAGCCCGACGGCGGCCGCCGCCGGGGCGGGCTGACGGTTGTCAAGTGAGCCGAGCCGCGGCTGTCCAGCTCGGCGCAGTGCAGCCCAGAGGCCTGGCGGCGGCGGGGGCGCGATGGTGCCGTTTTTTCTTATTGCCGTTGGCCTAGCTGTGACGTCGTCGAGGCAAAGTAAGTTGACGCCTCGCATGCCGGATGCTACATTGCGTCGTTTCGGGGCAGATGGTTTCGGAATATATTTGAAATTTAGAGGGATTGGGAGCTAGAGGATGATCCTCTGGTGGCCAAAAAGGCGCTGTGGGTTCTCGTTGCCATTATTCAGGCGGAGCGATAAAAAGACCCGCGACCAAAAAGTTCGAATATACCTTTTCTTAATTCCTGCTTTTTACGGGTATGTAGAAGGTGACATTGCTCAGTCGGATGCGTGTCCGGGTTCCGTATTGGAAGCGTGGGTTCGATTCCTGACTGACCCGGAGGCTTCTAGGCATTTTCGACTAGGATAACCCATTTTTCTGTTTTGTTGGCCGCAACCTCGATTTACCGTCACAATTTAGCATGCCAAGTTCAAATACCACATTCACCTTGCCACATTTCAACATAATTTACTATGCAGATTTAAAATATCACATTGTTGTGACAATGTGATATTGTCCACAGAGTGATGAGAGTGATAATATCATAGAGTGATATAAAGGGAATTCACGAAACGAAAAATCCAAAGGTGCTAAAGACCTTGAATATTTACAATATTGCATTTCTTACATATTATCATATATACGCCAACTAAGAATAACAGAGCCTCAACAAAACATCAGCTTTTTTTGGATTTGGTATTTGTTTTGGTTTTGGTTTGGGGCTAGTTGTATGTTTGGCGCCGCTTGGGCAATAGCTGATCCGAAGAAGGTCATGCCAAATGCCAATTTTTACAGAAAGCGGATTATTTCAGATCACATGCCAACAAATATAAAATCATGCAGCCCTACCAAAAGCAGATATAGGGGTGTTCATTGTCACCTCAGAGTATATTCATGAGTCTGTTTTAACTCAGTGCAAAATTGTTTGTTTTTGACATTTATTGGTAATGTAGAGTTGAATGAACGTAACATTTCGTCCTGTCGGCCGTGATAGACGGATTGTTCAATCATCTGCACACGTGAGCCTATGCGCAGCTTGAAACGTCGATCACTGTCAGCATAACACTGTTTGCCCTATAGGTCGTTTAATCAGTACCTCCTGGAATGATGAGGGTCCAGAGCTGAGCACAAGAAATCTGAACACATAGAACATCCCCGCGCAGAAATCATACATGCTAGTACAGGTCTGCTGCATCAAAACATACGTAATGAATGCCCCAGTGGTTGTGTATGGCTAACGGGGGGCGGCTGGCACGGACCCGCGAAATGGACCTCTTGACGCCAAGAAGTGGACTTCCTTGCCTTACCGCGTCACAGCGCAGGGTGCCTGGAATGAAATGTTGAACTCATGTTTAAATTTTCGTCGTTTCCACTGGTTGGCGCAAACTAACACATGTCAGCTATGATTTACAGGAAGGCGGTTCATACCATGCAAACTTCGTAACATACAAGATTCGCTTATTGCAGCAGATGACCAAATATCATTATTATGGAGTAAAATTCGCTCTACTGGCTTTAATTCTCGCATTGCAGCAAGTAGCCGTTTGCGGCATGACTGTGTTGCGCTGCAGGCCTTCTATGCGCTTCCATTGACGACAGTGCAGCGGAGCTTCCTTGATACGCTACTGGGTGATGGAAGGGATGTTGTTGCGACGGTAGAATCACAGCGACCAGGGTTTCACGTGCGCGATAGGTCATAGGCACCAGGGTCACTTCAGTGCAAGTCCAGGCGGGGTTGTAGAGCGACTCCTACGTACCATCGTCCGAACCAGAGTTCAGTCACCGGACAAGGGCTTAGACTCCAGATCGTTGCACCTTTACTTCACCAGGTCCAGAATGGAGTTGGCATGTGGTCATCAGTCCTTTTGAAGCAGGCGGGGATGCTGGTGAGGAGCGAGCGGCAGAAAGTCCAGCCTGGATAGATCGGCGCATGACTGTTGACAGAGGTGCAGGCGAATGAAGCTGTTAGCCGGTCTGGCCGGGCCTTTCATCCCAAACAGGGTGAATTTGATGACGTTTCCGGATATAACGATGATTACAAGTGAAAAAGCTAAAATGCGTCTGTTCACGGCCAGAGTGAGTGTGCGGTAGCATGTTACAGGATGGTAAACTTACAATGTTAGAAACATTTGTGTTTCGTCTTTCTAACATTTGTGTCACGGTGTTCTTCGCTGGCAGCATGTGTTTTAACAAACCAGCCTTGCTATCCTTACTGTCCTACCTGTAGCATGTTGCACGTCTGAATTGTACTGATGTCAGAAGCTTCTGTGTCCGAATTGCAAGGCATTTTGCCCAGTGGACATTCTTCATTCCAACTTCCTTCTATCATTATTTTTCCTACTCCTCTCGTGAATCTTTTGTGCTAGGTACCCCATCCTCAGAAACTAATTCTGGGTGAGATACTTTAGGTGGTTTGAGTTCGTTTTTTAAATTGATTTTGCCAATTCGGCAAGATAAGTCTCTTCTCTTTGTCATATTTTGCCCAACGAGAAAGTTCTGACAGAGAGATCTTGTCTTCGTCGGTTTGCTACGACGGCCAGCCTGACGCATGGCTTTTGGTTTTTGGAGTTGGTGTTCAGCCACTACAAGTGTCAGAATTACAACCTGAAGCTGATTCGACAGGCGGAAATGGATCCGTGAAAAATCCAGTGGGTAATTTTGAAGTCTGGGCGAATGAAAACGGAGGGAAATACATTGATTTATGCATCCTTTTGAACTTTTGAGTCATGTGACCAGGCCTATTTGACACGTTTTGCCATGGATCATTCAGATGAGCTAAACGCAAATTTGAAACGTGAACAACTGTTGTTTCTTCTGTCAATGGGTCTTTGATTAGCAGGGTGATATCACTAATTGATTTGACACGCGATGAAGGGGTTTCCAGTAATAATTCAGCCTTAATGACGAGTGCACAATCACCGTAGGATCCGTGAAATATACCATGTTGTCAACCTGAATCGTACAAGTTTTACGTTTTCGTCGTTGAAGAATTTGCTCCTTTGCTAGTGGCTAAACGGGAGTGTTCCACATTTGTGTGAGGGCTTAAACTGAGACATCCATCTTGAAGATTGTGCAGTGCACTTCCCAGCCCTGTCCTTTTAAAGACTTTAAAGACCTAAGGCCCTCTGATTTGCCCATCTTTTCAAAGTCAGCCAGGCCCGCATGACGCCATACAAACGGCTTGCGAACAATGCCCCTCATTTGACATGAAGTGCTCGAGGTCAATATGTGGTCATCGAGCTACCCGTTACTGGCTTAGGGCGGCACAATTTTTGGCATCAACGGACAACAGTTTGGCTTCAACCAATGTAGTGGTTTCAGTGCAAGTTTCGGAAACGAATAACGTTTTGTGCTACAGGAAGTTGAGCAGTGATACGAGCTATGACGGGAATAAGAATGGAAATCAAATAGCTTACGAGCAGCGCCGTGGACGAGTATGTGAAATAAATTATAAGATTACAGGACGAATGTGCGAAACACCACGAAAAAGGGCCAAAACACGCACAGCATAACGATCTTTGGCTTTTGCAAACAGCACATCGATTAGTGCGACACCTCTCAACAAGGTGAAGGAGGCCATGTGAGTCTGCTCATTTGATACAGTGGCAATTTTGCACAGCCAGTTTGGCAGTCACTCTGACGTTATACGTACGTTCCATGATGCAATGCATCGCTGTTTGATGATGATGCATAATCAAACGGAGCATATTCACTAAAAAGTGAAATTGTGTTGTGTAAACAGCATTTTGCACTTAAAAGCACACAGTTACAAGTCAGCTCACTTCATCATATCTGATGCTTTCTCTCTCTCTCTCTCTCTCTCTCTCTCTCTCTCTCTCTCTCTCTCTCTTCTCTTCTCTCTCTCTCTATCATCGCTCCTCTCTACTCTCTTTCTACTCTATTCCTCTCTCTCTCTCTCTCTCTTTCTCTCTATCTCTCTCTCATCTCTCTCTCTCTCTCTCTCTCTCTATATCTCTCTCCGTCGCTCTCTTCTCTATCTTCTCTACTTTCTTCGCTCTCTCTCTCTCTCTCCTCGCTCATCTCTTCTTCTCTTCTCTCTCTATCTTCTCTCTCTCTCTCTTCTTCTCTCTCTCTCTCTATCTCTCTCTACTCTCTCTCTGCGCTCTCTCTATCTCTCTCTCTGTCTCTCTCTCTCTCTCTACTCTCTATCTCTCTCTCTCTCTCTCTATCTCTATCTCTCTCTCTCTCTCTCTCTCCTCTAACTCTCTCTCTCATCTTCTCTCTCTCTCTCTCTCTCTCTTCTTCTCTCTCTTGTCTTTCTTTCTCCTTCCAGCCAACATGAATAGCTTAATGTCGTCATAGAGTTACCGGCACGCTGTCTGACCTTACACCCGCCCATTTCAGTCGTTTTCATTGACGATGACAAGGGCACGCCATGCGTGGATTCGACGGGTAATCCAGGAGTGTGCAGCCTTTTGAACCAGTGCGCCTCACTCCGGAACAGGAGCATCGCTCTTCAGCAGCGGTCCGTGTGCGGGACGGGGGGATCAACGACACGGGTGGTAAGGCTTCCTTTTGTTCCGTCTTTTTTAAACAAACGAGGACATTTGATCTGCTGGCAGGCTAGTGAAGGTATCCACGACCCCAGGTTTCGTGCCCGAGAGCTGCGTTCAACTCCCTGTCACCCTTACGTGCTCTGGATGATCACGTCACCTCTTTAGTTGCTAGTTCCCGACGAACATGTGTGCTGCGATGTTTGTACCGCGCATATTTCCATGGAAAACAGGAATTAGACCAGCGTTTCCCATCGCTTTCAAGTCTTTTCCTCCAGAGGATGGATCATATTAAGATTTTCCTTCAACGTAGTACACACCTCAGTTAGCGTAGGCTATGCATTATGCATACATATGCATGTACGCTCTGAGTGTGAGCTGGATCACATAATCGGTCGCACTGTCTAGAGAAATGTTCTACACAGAGAACACATTCGCGCAACACTACTCAAACGACAGACGTGAGATCTCAGTCTCTTAGTAGTGCCCAAACACTTCATGTCAGTACTAACACTGACCATGTTTTACCCACTACGTCAAATCTTGTTTTGCTCAGTGCATGTAGCAACATCACCTTGCTGCCAACGCCCACTTCTCGGCGCCTCCTGGACAGTTACCTTTCTCAGCCCAAACATAATTTGGCCACACCACCTCCCCCGCACGCCCACCAACCCCACCTCTCCCGACCGGTTTGGAATGCGCGAACTAGCCGGTTAAAGCAATAAGTGCCTTGTTTAAAGCTGCAGATAGACCCCCTCTCCATCTGAAGGCAGATAGACCCCTCTCTATCTCCACCATTGCCCACATGGCCGAGTGAGGCGACTAAATCCCACCATAGGAATCCGCATCGCGCGCCAGACGTGGAGGCACTTTGGTCATGATGAGTACACATGCCGAGAGTGCCCGATTGTGCACAGAGATGAGCTGGGCCTCTTTGTAGACGTCATATGATAGAACGTGTGTGCGGGCTGACCATGCTCTAGTACACATCCCCGGGCGAGCCCATTTAGCATATACAGCTGCTTAACCACCAAACGCACAGTCGGGGAAGCAGTCCTGCCACTATGGCTGGTACACGTCGTGACGGGCCGTTGGTCATCATCTCTTTCCTGTCTGTCACACACGAAAGTGCGACTACATCCGATCGTTCCCTCTCCCCGTCCTCAGTGCTGCACGGGACAAACCGCCAGTGCAGGAGCGAAGTGTCGACGCTTCGTCTCGCCGCGCGACTGTGGTACTGTCGACCTTCTCCCGCCCTCGCATCAACGCCAACGGCCTGCCGGTGAGCAGCGTGACCGACTTCCCCTGGATGGCGCTGCTGCAATACTCGTCTGAGCCGATCAGCCGGTGCGGAGGCGCCATCATCAACGACCGCTGGATACTCACAGCCGCGCAATGCATCAACAGCGCCGGCCCGTGAGTTGGACGTCACAAACGATCTTTGCTATTTTAGTTATAATACTCGTCGAATTTTCCCAAATTTCTGAACTTATATGCTGAATTCCGAGTTGTATTCCTAGCTCTCGCCGGCCATAGCCTGCTGGTCATAGCTTGCTGGTCATAGCCTGCTGGTCATAGCTTGCTGGTCATAGCCTGCTAGTTGTGACTTGCCTCGTGGACATCGACAACGCTATCCAGGTGTTTACGAGTGTTCAAGAGCTGAAAGCTGGCAGCAGAATATTGGAACGAGACTTGGAGGATGTCAATTCTTGGCGTTCGCTAGGCTGGGGAAGGGGGTGTGTCTTCTCGGCGTTCGCCCCTTTCTACCTCCATATGATCAGGTGGGTGGAAAGGGGAAGAAAAAAAAGAAGAATAGGAACTGACACACCTGCCGTACCTTTGTAATCGCCGGCGCTGGAATGGTGGTTCCAAACTTCCCTCTGGTTTGACGCCGACATGGCCATCTAGTGGTGAAGACTGAACTGAGTGTCGATATCTGGTGCGCAGTTGGATGGTGTTGGTGGTGTGAATGGTGATGCGATGATAATGCTCTGCAGTGTCCAAACACAAAGTCATTCCATTTGTGACGTGTTCGTAACAGTTCAAAGCGATGGCAACTACAGCACAAACTGTACATTAAAGTGATGACGGCATCCCCCATCCGGTTCCGTTTACGTTTCCGACCCACCAGAGCGTCATCCGAGGGAGCAGCGCAACAAGAAAGCGTTCTCAAAATTCGGAAGCATTTCAGAACACAGTTGTCCCATGATCCGCATGACAGTGACTGACTAATGAAGTGCTGCGACGGCGAAATAACAGTGGAAAACAAACAACAGCCGTCCCATAGAGACCACAGTACCAAATGCATGATAGTGTACCATCTGGAGAAACAGGTGCAAAGCGTCATACGCTTATCTGGGCCTCAGCCTAGGACCACATAAACCAACCGAAATCACATGGAGGAATATTCACTGCGTTCTGTGCTGTGGCGACTTTGCTCTCCTATCTGGGTATCGAGCATGCGCCAACCCCAAGGCCAGGCTGGAGGAGCGAAGTACAACCAAGAACGTCACGTGCCGGACTTGATACGACTTGTCAGCACATTTATTTTGGCCGTACGGAACGAAGGGCACGCAACATTTCATTGAATGTCTGCGCGTGATGCCGAGAAGGAAGCCGCCGGCACACCATTCGATGACCATTGGTCTGTCAGCCGCCTGAACGAACCGCTCACCATCCATCTGCATACCAGGACTCTACGCAGGTGTGAGAAGTGCGCTGACAGGAACATGTTCGAATATCTCCTTACGAAGGAGCACTATCTGAAGTTAGACACAGCCATTGACAGCTGACCCGCCTTGCTTGGAGCCCTTTAGCTGTGTACCACCATCTATCGGAATTCCATTCAGCTGTCGTGTCAACAACAAATGGCGGGACTGGCGTGAAATTGGCGGTAAGTTTGGAAGCGCCAGTCCTGCGCCGGCAGTAGCAGGGGTGGCACAGGTGTGTCACCTTCTTTTCCTCTTTTTATTCCCCCCCCCCCCCCCCTCTACTCACCTGATGATGGTGAACGCCCAAATATCGTGCCTCCAACATTTATTTTCTAATTCCTATCAGCCAGCCAACAAGTTTCCAACAACTAGCAGGCGAGTGCTATTGGGGTCATTTATCTACTTTCGAGCAAACTGCGCTGCATCGATGTGACGATCCGAGGGCTTTGTTTCAGGATCTGGATCCATTTTGCGGCGTCTCTATTTGACTGCGAATTCAGCTGACTAGTACCGGGTATTGCGCGGAGCCCCATTCGAGCTTATCACGTAATATGTCATACACGTCATACGCTGTCGTCATGCGGTAATGTCATCACTCACTTTCCCGAGAAAAAAAAAACACCTTGAGAGCGGTTTGCCCCACGTGCCAGTTCTCTTCAAGCCACTTCACACGTCACCTCGGGCCGAGACCCGGGGCTGGCTCGGCCCCAGCCTGGGCCAGCCTCTATACACGCCGTCTGGACAATAGGAGTGCTCTGTAAATATCACCACGTGGTTTCATTTTCGCCAATGCGTTGAACTGGTGCCGGAAAATGTTTTGTAGCTGGTCGTGCTAGCATTGCTTGCTAAGTGCCTGAAATGCCAGAGCTTAATGATCAACAGACTTGTGCAAAATCAGTGTACGGCGTTTCCGTTTGTGTCCCTGCTGCAACCCATACGAATCCGAATAGCGATGAGTGTGCAATGCGGCCCGTCGATATGCGTTCTCCTTGCATCAGACCTTGCGTAAATGATTATGCCGTAACCGGATTCCGTGTTACGTTGCAGAGTGAAGGTACTTCTGGGCGACTTGCACCCCGCCACTAGCACAGATGACCATTTTCAGCACCCACCCAGAGTGTACAATGTGGAGAAAACTGTAAAACATCCGGAATTCAGGCGGGTCGTCAGAGGAAATGGAAAAGGCATTTTCAATGACATTGCCCTCATCAAGCTCACGGAGCGCATCTCAATATCACGTAAGGCCTCGCAAACAGCTGACTATTATTGCGCCCATAAAACAGCTAATCGTATCCCGAGGCTATGACGCCCGCATCTGGGTCAGAGTGAACGCCGTCAACTTCTTCTTTTACCTCTTGCAACTAACGACAATTTATTTTACGACAGTTGACGTGTTTTTCTTGAACGGCTTACATTGCGATCCTACCACCTAGTCTTCCAGGGGTAGCATTCATTTGCACACCTTTTTATTCACTTATTCACTCTATCACGCTACGTAAGCATTACGCCTAAATGTAATCTGTAATCAATCCTATATGCTAGCCGTCGGCATCGAGCCTTAACGCCCCCCCCCCCCCCCTCCACTTCTCTCCTCACCACCTTGTCTTTTATGGATGACTTGTAGGGATTCTCATCCAGCCATCACGGTGTTGACGCAAATGTGTGTGCTATAAGTGTACAGTATCTTACCAAACATCGGCGTTTGGAGTTAGTGCTTCACCACGGTTAACGTTGTGACTTCCCTGATTTCAGACTGGCAAATAAAGAATGGTAAACTCGTGACGTGTAACGAAACAAACCGGTGTAACTGCTGGGCTTTTCAATTGGTGGACATTGCCACAGTAACACATACAAGGCTCCTTGTAAAGTCACTTTACAGTCCACATGAATGTTGCCCAAGTACTTTCACACCTGGACGTGAACTATTCACATTCAGTGGCGTTTGTGTCAAGCATGTCCTATGATTGATTCTCATTAGAATAGACAACTTATTTTCACGGGTTTCAAGCCGTCATGTTTCTGTACGCTCTGTTTAAGATGCGTTCTTAGTCGTCATGTTTTTGTATCCTCTGTTTAAGATGCGTTCTTAGTCGTCATGTTTGTCTCCGTCTGTGCTGACCCTGGTTTCAGTCACACGCCTGCTGATAGTGTTACCGATGGCTGGGGTCTGCATCATCGAGCATCGATAGCTTTTTGCAATCAAGCTCTCCGCTTACAGCCGTGATGAAGCCGCTGTGCATCTCCGATTCCTCCCGCCCCGCCTCCGACCTGGACAACCAGGAGGTCTTCGTCGCCGGCTGGGACGCGACTGAGTTCGGTGAGCGGTGGCCCCCCAGCAGCGTTGCGCGGAGACGGCCGCTAGATGCCGGGGTCGAGCGATGTCATAGGTCTCCGGTTTGATTATCCTGCCACGGATAATCTTTGCAAATTAGTTTTGTAGTCCCCATGAATGTTACCCAGTCACTTCCACACATGAGCTTGCGCTTGTCACATTCAGTAACGTGAATGCCAAGCATGTCCTCTGATGGGCTCTGATGAGAATGGGTAACTTATTCCTATAGATTGGAAACCGTCAAATTTCTTTACCCTCCGCTTGCTGTTGGGGGTTTCAGGCCTTCCTCAAACATACATTTCTGTCCTTTCCTATACTTCAAAGTGAAGGGTCCCACGGCATAGATGATGGGTATCACGGCATAGATGATGGGTACCACGGCATGGAGTGATGGGTCCCACGGCATAGAGTGATGGGTTCCACGGCATAGAGTGATGGGTCCCACGGAATAGATGGGTCCCATGGTAGAGGGTGATGGGTTCCCGGTTCTGTTACCATTCGGAGAAAAATGCGCAGCGTGATAGTACAACTTTATCTGCCCGGTTCGACTTCCCGCTGGCACAAGTGCACAGTGCACTCCCCAGGCAGGGAAAGGCCAGTGTTCTTCGCATATTCTATGCCGCAGCGCGGAAGCTGGTGGGAAAGATATCACACTAGCAATTCAAAAAATGACGACAGATGTTTAAACCCATCTTAGCTGGGGAAGATTCAAGTCTCAGTGGCGACCACTCCATAATACGATCAGGACATTTAATCTAACGGCTTAGTTAATTTTCATTACTTAGTACATTCTCAATATACTCAGTATTTTGGGCGCACTAACACAAAATAAGTTGAGGCGGGCCAAGTTGTGAAAAAATGACTCAGTCTAGCCCCAAAACACCCTAATAAACGGGTTTCTACATGGGTTTGGCCCACTTTCTACTTAAATTGCGTATCAGAGGACTGAAACCTAAGCTTGGGGAGGGGGTGAAGCCCACAACTGAATACAAGATTGCATCCCTCCTCAGAAACATGCCGCACGTCCATGCACCAGTTTGCTAGTGAAATAAAGTCGGTGGCGTGCCATTTTTTTAAAACTATTTTTTCGGTACGAAATCTTTAATGCATGCAGCGTTCAGAAGCACAAGCATTCAAACTGAAATTGTTTTTATCCGCCTCTTTGGTTTTAAGCAGTTTTTGCGAGCAAAGTAACCGCTTGAACTTGCCTACAATGACGCAGACACATCCAGGCAAGCCCAGACGCTGCATAATTCTGCACCCACAACCACGCTAAAAATCAGTCAACCTAGCGTGAGGTCTCTCGTCAGGATGAGGTGAATCACCTCCTTGCCTCTGAGCGAATGGACATACTGTACCTCCGAGAAGCGTGGCTCACTGAGCCCATCGACGGCTGCATACTGCTGTTCCCGGGATGCGTCTCATGCAGGAGAGATCGAAAGACGGGAAGACCTGGAGAGCGTGTCGCTATCTCACACCGTAACACGCTGTGAGTGAAATCCCTGCTCGTGCCACCCACAAGAGCTTGATTGGAGGTTCTGGCTCCAGCTGAACGGCCGAAGGTTTCTCCTCGTCAGTGTGGACCTTGACTGGAGGCTCTAGCTCCAGCTGAACCGCCGAAAGTTTCTCATCATCAGTGTGGACCTTGACTGGAGGCTCTGGCTCCACCTGAACCGCCGAAGGTTTCTCTTCATCAATGTGGACATTGACTGGAGGCTCTGGCTCCAGCTGAACGGCCGAAGGTTTCTCCTCGTCAGTGTGGCCTACGGCCCTGGTGGAGCAACAGCCCCAGTCATCGATGATGTGCGGGATCAGCTGACATTCATCATGTCAAGAGGCAGGCCCAGATGTGTCCTTGGTGACACCAGCTCCGGCTTGTGACATTCCGATAAACCCGGGGTGGTGCTCTGTATCCAGCTGATCAGACAGGTGAGTCAGCGCATTACCTCTTCGAGTCACACTGGATCTAACCTAACCCTGATGGATCACATCATTATCAGCAAACCGAACCTGCCATCCGATGGGCGGGTGCAGGCCCGCAGCACCAGGGACCGCGATCTGATCGCACGGTCAATCACTGCTGTTAGGACTCGATAAGAGCTGTCAGAAGTGCAGGTCGGGACCGCACGACGCGTCAACCGGGATACCCCGTGCCTCGGCCTTCAACATGGCCATTGGAGCTCACTTGATGGAGCAGGGCCTGCCCCCGACAAATGGGATGCTCGGCTGTCGGTTTGGGATCCGATCGTCGATCTCCGCATACCACTGCACAGGGTGGAGCTGAGTAGCCCGTCCCAATCCGGGCTGCAAGATAATGACATCAGAGCTGCCATGGAGTAGCGCGACCAGGCGTGCATCGACCCAGAGTGGACGCCATCATAGGGAGACCACACGGGAGTTCCGCCCCACCGCAATACAGTCGAGACCGTATTACATCGCGCATGCTGTTCATACTATCGAATGCTAAAAAGAAAGTCAATGTCTACAGCACAGAGAGATATTCGTCGCTTCCTAGTATCTTCCAAGACACCCGACCCAAAGACTGCCAACACGGCGGAATGAGATCCAAAATGGGCCAGGAAACTAAGCCATTTCTCCGCATCCGTGGGCTCCGGCGTGGCGAGCGCCCGGCCGCGTCCCACGCCGGGGAGACACTCTCGCCGCGTCCGCCGCGCGGGTGCAGCGGCACACCCTCCCTGCCTCCGGCTGCGCCCCCAGAGCTGTCGGCGACACTTCAGCGGATGGGCTAGTCCCGCGCATGCGCAGCGGACGACGTCACCGTTGGTATGCTGAGAGCGGCTTTTCCTCATGATCATTCTGTGCACGTCAAAGTCTTGTCCTTTTTAAGACTAAAAATTAACCTCTGATGTGACCTTGGCGCCCGCGAACTTGCGCATACAATTGCGTGCATACTAATTGAAGGTCACACAGGCATGCATAACGCCGCAAAAAGGTCGCGGGAATATTGCCACTTCATTAGCCTTGTGGTGGCAGCAGATGCTGCCACCAGCATGAAATTTTAAGCCGACGTGGCGTTACCTCCTTAGTCAATAAAGCTGCCGTGCAAAGCAAAAAGCGGCGCAAGTGCACTTTCTGCACTTTGGTTTTTTGCACTTTGGATTCGAAATAGGAATACCCACCATCCCGAAAAATACAGTTGCCATAATCTCCCCCAATTGCCAAAAATTTTGGATTTTTTTCTCGGAGATAAGTGCAAGTGCCGAACAAGTCTAATCCGCAACGTAAAAGAAGCGTAAGTGTCGCGAGCTACAGCGCACAACGCAAGTTCTTCCCTTTCGCTGATTAAATTCATAATAAGCGCATGTCTGCGCTTGCGCTTTGTCCAATGGACGCGCTGTTCGTTATGCCAATTTCGCTTTTTCACTGAGTCTTCTCCAAACAGGGAGTGCGTTTGGCATAATCGTAGGAACGGCAATAGCGCACGTAAAGTGATGAAGTTTTAGCCAAGAAAGTCATGCAGTGAATTTAGAAACGAGTCTTTCAATGAAACATATTTTACAGGTACGTATTGCTCCCTCCCAAAGCAGCATAGGAGTAGCTTATTTCCCGACGTATATAACTTTGATCTAATACGAATTTCGGTCCAGTCACACGCCGACTCTGCACGCCCATGACGCGAATGTGCCCCGCGGCCAAAACCACTATAGCGCCGCTCAAATTTGTCACAGTTTGAAAGTTGGATTGATTTGGGCAGTGTCCTAGAATTGCCGACTTTGGGTGTAAAGCAACACCCTATGATCAGGAATCATTCACTCCTTTTCCCCGTCTTTTATGTGAAATTTTCACTCCTGCCTGACATTGCCTAATCGCACATGCCAAACCCCTATGTCTCTTTCTGAGGTTTTCACATGTCATCCAAAACCGAGCTCACTTGAAGCCACCAAGCATAAACGAGGCTCCACAGAACCTGGACACCTATGGCTATGTCCTGCCTCCCCTACATCTGAATCATGCCTATGTACCCGCGGAGCAATCGCTCCAGCTACCTCCCAGCCCAAGAACCCCATCGACTCCAGCCGCTTGCACGTAGTAAGTTTGATTTGTTTACAAAATGCATCATAATCGGCAGCTGTATGCTAAATGCAAGGTTTTCACGCATCCCCTATTTTTTTGGTCTCACCGCCATACCACGAAGGCAGAGCCTGGTGCAGCCACCAGCAAGGCCTGGTAGAGAATTTTACCCCACGTATTTCTTTTTTTCCCGAAGGAACTTGACCACTAAAGTGCGCCACTCCCGAAATGCAGGAGTGAAAAATTCAAGAGATGTCTTCTAAATGAAATTTACAAGATGAATATTACCATCTGAGCTCTCATGTCAACAGACTTTAAGTCAAACCAGGTGATTACAGAAATTTTGCCAAAAAAGTATCAGTCTTTATAGTTATTTAACTACTTTTGTTTTTTTTAGTATCATACGAGTGAGATACCACTTTATTCTTCCTCCCTTTTTATTGCCTTTAGAGGTACCATCTGTTGCTTAAAATGCTGACCAATTTCTCTGCAAGATGCCCCAACTGCAAACTTGTGCATATTTCATGCATAAATTGGATTAATTCGCCAGCCGCCCAAACATGTTTGATATGCACCCAAGAGTGAACAATTCACAGGGAATGGAGGACAAAATTTGAAGCACGGAACTTATTTCTACCGCCATTTTTGCCCTCTTAAACCCTCGTTTAACCCTTATATTGGTTCATGGCGGTGCTCAATAATGATCAATATAAGTATTTCCAGCGTCTAACTCAAAAGGCTACCTGACAAGGCTATCTTAATGCTGTCATGCAGAGCTTCGGGACAGACCTGACGCAGTTAATACAGAAATGTTTGATGGCGAAATTCTGCCCTCTGGAGGTGTATATCATGCACACCCCTAACTTGTTTCATATGTTTATCTCGTAGGTTGGTGGGCATGATTGCTATTTATATTTGGGGGTGAGTGGGATGACTCTGTCTGCCAGCAAACCACGCAAAAGGTACCGACTTTTTGTTTTGTGGGAGCAGGAAGAAGCCAGTACGTCTCCTGTGGACCAAGCAATTGCTTGCCTTACCTGCTTTCAACACATGATTGGTAACCAGAGTTAGCCCTTTTCTGTTTTAATCCATAGAATTTTGTCATAACACAAATTACTATACCACAAGGTATGCAATGGGCTTATTTTGTTCCATATTCTTGATTATTTGCCCCAAATTTCTTGAAGTGGTCACTCATGGCCACTTTAAATAGATGTTTTCTATAGTTGTCATGGTTTGCTGACTAGCAAATGACTGTACTGTATATATGCACTATATTTTTAACACAGGGATACTCCAAGCTGCATAGCAATTATAATATGAGTTAAATGTTAGTATGTAACAAATAGCCAGACTATCCCGTGTAAAATGTAAGCCAACATCTCAAATTTT